AGAAGTCCTAGCCTCAGCAATCAGACAACAAAAAGAAATAAAAGACATCCGAATCAGCCAAGAAGAAGTCAAACTCTCACTCTTTGCAGATGATATGATACTTTATGTGGAAAACCCAAAAGACTCCACGCCAAATCTGCTAGAACTCATACTGGAATTCATTAAGTATCAGGATATAAAATCAATCCACAGAAATCAGTTGCATTTCTATACACCAACAGCAAGACAGAAGAAAGAGAAATTAAGGAGTCAATCCCATTTACAATTGTACCCAAAACCATAAAATACCTAGAAATAAATCAAACCAAAGTGGCAAAGAATCTGTACTCAGAAAACTTTAAAGTACTCATAAAAACTGAGGAAGACACAAAGAAAGGCAAAACTATTCTATGTCACAGATTGGAAGAACAAATATTGTAAAAATGTCTATGCTACCTAGAGCAATCTACACATTTAATGCAATCCCTATCAATATACCATCAATTTTTTTCAAAGGAATAGAATAAATAATCCTAAAATTTATATGGAACCAGAAAAGACCCTGAATAGCTAGAGGAATATTGAAAAAGAAAGCCAAAGTTGGTGGCATCACAATTCCAGACTTCAAGCTCATTACAAAGCTGTCATCATCAAGAAAGCATGGTACTGGCACAAAAACAGACACATAGATCAATGGAACAGAATAGAGAGTTCAGAAATGGACCCTCAACTCTACGGTCAACTAATCTTCAACAAAGCAGGAAAGAATGTCCAACAGAAAAAAGTCTCTTCAACAAATGGTGTTGGGAAAATTGGACAGCCACATGCAGAAGAATGAAACTGGACCATTTCTTTACACCACACACAAAAATAAATGAAAGTGGATGAAAGACCTCAATGTGAGACAGGAATTCATCAAAATCCTTAAGGAGAACACAGGCAATAACTCTTGAACCTCAGCCACATCAACTTCTTCCTAGAAATATCACCAAAAGCAAGGGAAGCAAGAGCAAATGAACTATTAGGACTTCATCAAAATCAAAAGCTTTTGCACAGCAAAGGAAAAAGTCAACAAAACCAAAAGACAACCAACACAGTGGGAGAAGATATTTGCAAATGACATATCAGATAAAGGGCTAGTATCTAAGATCTATAAAGAACTTCTCAAACTCAACACCCAAAGAACAAATAATCCAATCAAGAAATTGGCAGAGGACATGAACAGACATTTCTGCAAAGAAGACATTCAAATGGCCAACAGACACATGAAAAAGTGCTCAGTATCACTCGGCATCAGGGAAATACAAATCAAAACCACAATGAGATACCACCAGTCAAAATGACTAAAATTAACCAGTCAGGAAATGACAGATGCTGGCGAGGATGCAGAGAAAGGGGAACCCTCCTACACTGTTGTGGGAATGTAAGCTGGTGCAGCCACTCTGGAAAACAGTATGGAGGTTCTTCAAAAAGTTGAAAATAGAGCTACCCTATGACCCGGCATTTGCACTACTGGGTATTTACCCTAAAGATACAAATGTAGTGATCCAAAGGGGCACATGCACCCGAATGTTTATAGCAGCAATGTCCACAATAGCCAAACTATGGAAAGAGCCTAGATGCCGATCAACAGATGAATAAATAAAAAAGATGTGGTATATATACACAATGGAATACTATACAGCCATCAAAAATGAAATCTTGCCATTTGCAATAATGTGGATGGAACTAGAGGGTATCATGCTGAGTGAAATAAGTCAATCAAAGAAAGATATTTATCATATGATCTCTCTGATATGAGGAATTTGAGAGGCAGGGTGGGGGGTCACGGCTGGGAAGGGAGAGAAAAAATGAAACAAGATGGGATTGGGAGGGAGACAAAACATAAGAGACTCTTAATCTCACAAAACAAACTGAGGGTTGTTGGGGGTTGGGGGGTAGGGATAGGGTGGTGGGGTTATGGACAGTGGGGAGGGTATTGCTATGGTGAGTGCTATGAAATGTGTAAGCCTGATGATTCACAGACCTGTACCCCTATGGAAAATAATACATTATAAGTTAATATAAAAAAGCAAAAAAAAATTATCTAAAAATAATGTAAAACACGGACCCATGCTACTATCAAAAATGAAATTGCTATAGAATCTATGATGAATCAATTTAATGTACTATTGTAAAACCACTTATCAAGAAATTATAAAATGAGACTTACCAAGACTACATAATAACTTAAAGTTCAGAAGCAAATCGTAAGTGCAAAAAAAGGAGAAATCATACTTAAAAAAACATAATTGAATAACAAAATCATTGATCAATTATGATAAATTCTTTTCTTTAAAATTTTTAAAAAATACTGTCTCACTTTTGATTTTATAATAAAATTGGAAGAAAATGTGTCAGAAAAAAAGCCTGAAGGCTTTAATTTTCCTATTTCTATATAGAAAATTATTTTCAGAATCAGCAGAACCAAGCCATCTAAGACCAAAGGTGGAAATTGCATAGTTCCAAGGTTTGAAACTTGTTTAGAACAGATGAAGAATCATGCCCAGGGGCTTTAAGGGGACACCATAACCACAGGAAAAAGAAATGGCAAAGGAGTTGTTACATTACTAAACCACTTGTTCTTGAAACCAAGATTAGGTAAACTGTACTTGATCAGAAGTTCAAGTATCAGAAGTCATAAATGGAAGAAGAGTCAGAGAAAGATCCATCTTCGACTAGAGTATTCTTTCGGCTGTAAGAGTTAACAGTTTTCCAGCCTCTTAATGAAGACAGATTGGGTGTTAATGTCAGACCCACTGACTTTTCAGAGGGGAAAACTACACATCATTCCTCCCCAGGAGGTGGTATTGCTGTCCCTCTTTCGCACTACTGTGAGACTTGTATCATAAGCCATGAAATGTAGAGATAGCACCCTTGGTAGAGAAATGATGTCTCCTCTTTACAACAACCCATCCTCATAAAAATCCTCCACTCTTTCTTTAAAAAGCCTTTCTTATGATGAAACTACAAAAAATGTTGAAAAATCAAACAAATCCAACGTGGTCAATGTTCCAAAATTAAACTGTACATGTCCTGGTCTGACCCATTTTCTTCATTTTGTGATTAAGTGTTTAAATGGCTTAAGAAGCTTCTGACTTCATTAAACAATCTGGAAACAGTAAGAACTTTTTCCCAAAGAAATTAGCTGTCAAATTATTCCTCTAATAATGTGTTTGTTTTCTGATGCTAGTGCTGAAATGCCAAGGCACTCTGACAGATAACTGTTAGAAAATTTGGGTTCAGAGCTTTAAAGAGCATGAGATACTGGTTTTGGAAGCGGCTGTGAGAAGGGCAGGGCCGGGGTAAAGAGGAGGTGGTAATGGAGGTGCCAGTAACAGGTCCGTGCCTCCTTTCTGATATCGGCGTGTTAATGTTGCCAAAGTGTTCCCAGCATTTGTACAATAGTAATGAGGCTGGATTTTTTTTTTCCAAGAGACAAAAACCTTCATTTCTGTATAAATCAAGAATAATACATTAGAATGAAATGAAGAAAAATATAAATTAGAAAAAAGAAAAGATAATCTAAAAGTACATTATCAAACATTAAATTTTCTAACTGGGGAAGGGACTTTCAAATTTCACCTCAAAGACAGAAGAAATTCTTTGTTAATTTTATGTATTTATTTGAGTCTTGGTCTCTTAATCTAAAATTGCACTGTCCAATATGGTAGCTTCTGGCCATATGTGGCTGTTGGGCCCTAGTCCAAACTGACACATGCTATCTGTGTAAGAAACACACTAGGTTTAAGAAACACACTAGGTTTCAAGGATTTAGTAAGAAAAAGAGTACAAAATGTCTCATTAATATTTTTCATATTAAAATTATACTTTATATATAACAGATTAAACAAAACATTATTAAAATTAATTTGACCAGTTTCTTTTTACTTTTCCTAATGAGGCTACTAGAAAATTTAGATTTCATATAGGGTTAATATCTGTGTCTCTCATTCCATTTCCACTGGACAATACCAGTATTTAATTAAAATGAATCAGTCTGAATTAACTCCTTCAAAATCCCTTCTAGCTCCAGAGTTCTGACACTAAGAGACTGTGGGCTCAAGCTGCTAAGTTTCAAATACAAAGTTATTTTGGAAAAACTTAGGTTCAGTCACTGTTTCATTATTTCTCCATCCTTTTCACTCACGCTTGTCAATGCTTCCTTATTCTGTTTCCTACAGATCCCTAATAGCCAGGAAAAATGATGAGTCAATTTATTTACTTATAAACTACAACTATGAAGTTCATAGCGTCATTCTGAATTGTCAGCTGGTCCTATTTCTTTTCGCTTCACACCATACTGATGCACCCCCCTTTTTTTTTTTAAGATTTTATTTATTTACTTGAGAGAGAGAGTGAGAGAGAAAGCACAAGAAGGGAGAGAGTCAGAGGGAGAAGAGGACTCCCAGCCAGTGAGGGAGCCTGATGCAGGACCCCATCCCGGGACTCCTGGATCACAAACCAAGCTAAGGGCAGTCGCCCAACCAACCAAGCCACCCAGGTGCCCACTGATGCCCAATTTTAATGACATGTAATGGATAATGAACTCTGAGGGTTTTTTTCAGATTTGATATTCATCAAATAGGAGTTTCGGAATTATAGAAGCTTAGAGGTGCTATTCCAGTGGTTCCCAAAGGTGCAGCCACCTCTGAGTCACCTGGGGAACATGTGAAAAATGTTGATTCCTGGGCCTGATACTGGGAGATTTCTGACTCAACGCAGTCTGAGATAAGACAAAATCCTATACTTCTTAAGAAGCTATCCAGGTCATTCAGAGAGTGAGCCAGGTTTGGGAATCAGTGGTCTAGCCTAACTTACTTCATCAGTAATTGGGAAAAAATGAACTGTCCTAGAACCTAGTGGGGAGGTTCCTAGAACCCAAGGACAGGGGCCTCAGACCTAGAACCAGGACACAGAGCTCCAAAGCCAGCTCGCTGCCATCACTGAGAGACATTCTGTCAAATACAAACACTACTCACTCCTCAAGAGCTCCAGCCATTAGTATATCTTCCTTGTCGGTCTTAATATCCAACTCTGGTTCTCCGCTAAGCAGAAGCTTCAAGTTATAAATAACCAGCAAAGTACCTAGTAGGAAAAAAAAGGACGTTTGACTTGTCAATACTTTAATTACACTAAATATTAGTTATAGTGCTATTATCTCATCTATGGAATTAAGCCAACTCTAGACCAAATTTCCTTCTGTACTTCAGTAAGTAATATGCCTGGGTAAGTTCCAAGATATAAGTCTCACGGCAAATTCCACTCTCTGCCAAAGAGTGTTGAGTTTCTGTGTTATCATGCTTATTCCTATTCAATTCATTATAAGTCTCTCAATGTAGATTCTATACTTTGGGACTCTTTTCATAATTTGCATTATGAAAACTGTTAGGAGTCTGAGCTAAAATTTGTATTGTAGGTAAAGGTCTCACTGGTGGAACTATAATCAATGCACATAAGAACAAAGATGAGTTTTTAAAATTTGTACAGATACAAAGAATTGCTTTTAGACCCCATAACAGGTGTTGGCAAACTTTTTTTGTAAAGGGCCAGATAACTAACATTTCAGGCTTTGCAGGCCAAATGGTCTCTGCCACGTCTACTCACAACTCACCTCCATCACTGTAGCATGAAAGCTGCCACAGAGAATACATAAATGAATGAATGTGGCTATATTCCAATAAAATTTCATTTACAAAAACAAGCATTGCTGGGTTTGACCTGCAGACCACATTTGCTGACCCCAGCTCTACAGCATAGTTAACAAAATAATCCAAATTCTTTACAAAATTGATTATGATACAAAGGCAAACAGGATTGTCAGAGAAATTAAAAGAACAACCAATTATACTTCTCTTGGTAGTACTAAAACACAAGAGAGAACAAACAGCACAGTGACTAAGAATGCCTGTGTCCAAATCCTGGATCAACCATTTATTTACCAGCACAATGACCTCAGATAAGTTTCCTAACCTCTTTGAACCTAATTTTTTCTAATCTACACAACAGAACACATAAATTATTTTGAGAATTAAATGTGTTAATTTTTAATAAAACATTTAGAAAAGTATTCAAGAAACAGCACACCCTTCATTAGTACTTACATGAGTATTTCACAATTAAAAGTCAGCTAACAAGTTAACATTAGCTGTCCTTAAATTATGTCATGTATAGGGGTGCGTGGGTGGCTCAGTCGGTTGAGGGTCTGACTCTTAATTTCGGCTCAGGTCATGATCTCCAGGTCGTGAGATCAAGGCCCAACTTGGGTTCTGCGCTAAGTGTGCAACCTGCCTAAGATTCTCTTTCTCTTTCTCCTTCTGTCCCTCCCCCACTGCTTGCATCCACTCTCTCCCCAAAAATTAGGGAAAAAAAAAAGTATAACATGTATACATTAAGAAGATTAGTATTTATTGAGTTGCCACTAGTTTTCCACTAAAAGGGAAAGGATAACAAAAAATCATTTTTAAGCAAAATGCCATAAATTAGAGAAGAAATTTTGAAGGTAATACAAGCCAAGTCAGAACCAAATTTTTCAGAATTTCAGTGGGTTAAGTGCCTGCCTTTGGCTCAGGTCATGATCCCAGGGTCGTGGGGTAGAACAGGGAGTCTGCTTCTCCCTCTCCCTCTATGTCTCCTCCTGGTTTGCGCTCTCTCAAATATATATATTTTTTTTTCTTAAAAAAAAAAAAAGAATTTCACTAAAAACATTATCTAAATCAAGGAGTTCCAAAAAGGAAAATGCACATAGTTTTCTCTAGAGTAGGATTCTTCTTGTTTCCAGATAAGAAAGGCAAACATCTAGAGAAGGACTGGCACTGGAAAATGTTAGTAGACACAGGGCATTCTACATGTTGAGTAGAAAGCTGGTGCAGGTTGAAAGAATACAGAAAAAACAGAAACTCTATGCCTCAGAAACCTGGATTCACTGGCTTATATACTGCTAACTGTCTTATATATATGAGATCATCTAGTTGTAGACCCTGCAGTAAGCATGTCCTAATTCTGCTATGTAGCGCAGGGACTATGGATTCCCTGGGGTCACAGACTATGCCACCCCTTCTCATCCAGCCTTCACCAAGCTCATCCAAGTACAACTCTTTCTTCCAGTGTCGGGGACTTGGAGCTATTCATGTTTGGATTCACTTAAGACAAAATTCCTGTGGATACAATGAATGACTGCCCACATGTGAGATCCTGCATGGTATTATAAATAGAAAAAAATATAAAAGTGTATGTAGAGTATCTTTTGAAAGATACTGAAAACAAAATACTTCTAACAAAACTTCAGAGTTTGGATGATCTTACCACATTTCCCATAGATCACATCAAACTGCTGCATCAGTTCAGCTTCATTTCTAAATGGAGAGTACTTAAAAATTATAGACAATTCCGTTGATAATTTTTGAGGATCATCTGTGACAGATTTTCTGGTTCTTGTTAACCACGAAGGTATTGGAACCACAACCTATAAAACACACATACATACACACATCAATTTACTATGAAGTACACAAATAAAAACCATCATCCTCTCATCTGATCCTAATTCAGTCCATTCTTCATCTAGCCAAAGTACAACATACAAATTTAAAAGTTGATTTCCCCCTGTATTCTAGTTTTATAAGAAAGAGACACAAACTAATTATGTATACTCAAAGAGTGTTATTCTAAAAGGCTCCGTTGTAGAATGTGGGAACAGATGGAATCTACTTCAGCCCCTAACGAAATATGGGTAGGATGGCAGAGGGAACAACAGTGTCAGCATGTTAGAAGCTGAAGAGTACATGGCAGCACATCCAGGAAAACCAATCTGAGGCCCATGCTAGAAGAGAAAACCAGTCTGATTATTATTTGGAATACCCTAAAAGATTCAGAGATGGATGGCATGAGTTCACTTTGGGGATTGGAGAAAGGGGAAGAGAAATAGAAGTAGCATCCAGACTCCCATCTGGCACCAGCTCCCCCACCTCCACAGAGACTAGATGCTTATTCTCTGGAAAGAGCAGAACAAAGCATTTCTGGATTAGAGGATATATCAGGTACAGTTGTCAGGGGGACCTTACGGAGATTAGCAGGGTTAAAGAATACATACTGGGTACTGAGAACCCAGATTTCTTTTCTCACTTGGGTCCCAGAAAGCTGTCAGCTAGGCCTTCAGGCAGAAGACTGTAGGAGCCTTCTCTGAGAAACTGGACTAGCCCAAAAGGAAAGACATAACAAAAATTACACCGAGGGTTTCCCAACAATACAGCTCAGCTAGGGCTCACTATTATGACACTCATAGCCGCCAAGACCCCCACCCCCAACCCCATTCTTGCAGAGCTTTCCATTGAAACTGCACTGGAATACTCTTTAAAGTATTCAGGCTTGATAACCATCTGAGAAAAGCCTCTAATATGATAAAAACAGATCAAATAAATAAGCACAAACAAAGCAACTCATCAGAAACCAAAACCGTACAAGGAAGATGAAAATTTCAGGGAAAAAATCATTAACACCTTCAGAGTGCTAAAAGGCCACCTTGCTTAAGACTATTTGGATCTGGAGTGCCTGGGAGGCTCAGTGGATTAAAACCTCTGCCTTCGGCTCAGGTCATGATCCCAGGGTCCTGAGATCAAGCCCCACATCGGGCTCTCTGCTCAACAGGGAGCCTGCTTCCCCTCCTCTCTCTCTGCCTGCCTCTCTGGCTACTTGTGATCTCTGTCTGTCAAATAAATAAATAAAATCTTAAAAAAAAAAGAATGTTTGGATCAACCAGGAAATCAAAGAACTTAAACAATTCATGGAAACCAATAAGAATGAAGACACTTCAGTCCAAAACCTATGAGATACAGCAAAGGCGGTCCTAATGGGGAAATACATAGCCATCCAAGCCTCCCTCAAAAAAAACTGAAAATCCAGAATACACCAGCTCTCTTTACACCTTAAAGAATTAACAACAAATTAAGCCAACTCCATGCACAAGAGGGGAAATAATAAGATTGAGCAGAGATCAATGAGAGAGAAACTAAAGATCCAGTAGAATGCATCAACAAAACTAGAAGCTGGTTTTTTGAAAGAATCAATAAGATCTATAAACCATTGGCCAAACTAATCCAAAAGAAGAGAGGACCCAAATTAATAAAATTATGAATGAAAAAGGAGAGATCATTAATAACAGCAAGGAAATAGAAACAATCATCAGAAATTATTATCAACAGTTATATGCCAATAAATTAAGCAACCTAGACGATATGGATGCATTCCTGGAAACATATAAACCTCCAAAACTGAATCAGGAAGAAACTGACAACCTGAGTAGACCAATATCTAGTAACGAGATTGAAGCAGTGATCAAAACCTCCAAAAAACAAAAGCCCAGGACCTGACAGATTCCATGGGGAATAATACAAAACTTTCAAAGAAGAAATAATACCTATTCTCCTGAAGCTCTTTCAAAAAATTGAAGCAGAAGGAAAACTTCCAGACTCTATTTATGAAGCCAGTATTACCCTAATCCCCAAACCAGGTAAAAACCCCACCAAAAAGAATTTCAGACCAACATCCCTTACGAATATGGATGCTAAGATTCTCAACAAGATCCCAGCTAATAGGATCCAACAGTATATTAAAAAGATTATCTACCGTGACCAGGTGGGGTTTATCCATGGGATGCAGGGGTGGTTCAACATTCACAAATCAGTCAATGTGATAGAACAAATCAATAAGAGTGGAGAGAAGAACCATAGGTCCTCTGAATTGATGCAGAAAAGCATTTGAGAATATACAGCATCCGTTCCTGATTAAAACGCTTCAAAGTATAGGGATAGAGGGAACATTCCTGAACTTCATAAAATCTATCTATGAAAAACCCACAGCAAATATCATCCTCAATGGAGAAAAGCTGACAGCCTTCCCTTTGAGATCAGGAATACGGCAAGGATGCCCACTCTTGCCACTGTTGTTCAACATAATATTAGAAATCCCAGCAACAGCAATCAGACAACAAAGAGAAATAAAAGGTATCCAAACTGGTAATGAAGAAGTCAAACCCTCCCTCTTCACAGATGACATGATACTTTATATGGAAAACCCAAAAGACTCCACCCCCAAACTACTAGAACTTATATAGCAATTCAGTAATGTGGCAGGATACAAAATCAATGTACAGAAATCAGTTGCTTTCTTATACACTAACAATGGAAATACAGAAAGGGAAATGAGAGAAACGATTCCACTTACTATAGCACCAAAAACCATAAGATATCTGGGAATAAACCTAACCAAAGAGGTAAAGGATCTGTACTCAAGGAACTACAGAACACTCATGAAAGAAATTGAAGACACAAAAAGATGGAAGACCATTCCATGCTCTTGGATCGGAAGAATAAACATTGTTAAAATGTCTATACTGCCTAGAGAAATCTATACTTTCAATGCCATTCCTACCAAAATTCCACTGGCATTTTTCAAAGAGCTGTAGCAAACAACCCTAAAATCTGTATGGAACCAGAAGAGACCCCGAATTACTAAGGAAATGTTGAAAAAGAAAAACAAAACTGGGGGCATCACGTTGCCTGATTTCAAGCTTTACTACAAAGCTGTGATCACCAAGACAGCATGGTACTGGCACAAAAACAGATACATAGACCAGTGGAACAGAGTAGAGAGCCCAGATATGGACCCTCAACTCTAGGGTCAAATAATCTTCAACAAAGCAGGAAAAAATATACAGTGGAAAAAAGACAGTCACTTCAATACATGGTGCTGGGAAAATTGGACAGCTACGTGTAGAAGAATGAAACTTTACCATTCTCTTACACCATACACAAAGATAAAATCAAAATGGATACAAGACCTCAACGTGAGGCAGGAATCCATCAGAATCCTAGAGGAGAACACAGGCAGTAACCTCTTCGACATCGACCACGGCAACTTCTTTCAAGATATGTCTCCAAAGGCAAAGGAAACAAAAGTGAAAATGAACTTTTGGGACTTCATCAAGATCAAAAGCTTTTGCACAGCAAAGGAAACAGTCAACAAAACAAAGAGGCAACCCATGGAATAGAAGAAGATATTCGCAAATGACACTACAGACAAAGGGCTGATATCCAAGATCTATAAAGAACCCCTCAAACTCAACACACACAAAACAGATAATCACATCCAAAAATGGGCAGAAGAAATGAACAGACACCTCTCCAAAGGAGACATACAAATGGCTAACAGACACATGAAAAAACGTTCATCATCACTAGCCATCAGAGAGATTCAGATCAAAACTACATTGAGATACCACCTTATACCAGGTAGAACGGTCAAAACTAACAAGACAGTAAACAACATGTGTTGGAGAGGATGTGGAGAAAGGGGAACCCTATTACACTGTTGCTGGGAACGCAAGTTGGGGCAGACACTTTGGAAAACAGTGTGGAGATTCCTTAAGAAATTAAAAATAGAGCTTCCCTATGACCCTGCAATTGCACTATTGGGTATTTACCCCCAAAATACAGATGTAGTGAAAAGAAGGGTCAACTGTACCCCAATGTTCATAGCAGCAATGGCCACAGTCACTAAACTGTGGAAAGAACCAAGATGCCCTCCAACGGAAGAATGGATAAAGAAGATATAGTTCATATATACTACGGAGTATTATGCCTCCATCAGAAGGATTAATACCCAACTTTTGTATCAACATGGACAGGATTGGAAGAGATTATGCTGAGTGAAATAAGTCAAGCAGAGAGAGTCAAGTATCATATGGTTTTCTTATTTGTGGAGCATAAGAAATAACACGGACGACATGGGAAGATGAAGAGGAGAAGGGAGTTGGGGGAAATTGGAGGGGGAAATGATCCATGAGAGACTGTGGATGCTGAGAAACAAACTAAGGGTTTTGGAGGGGATGGGTTGGGAGGTTGGGTGAGCCTGGTGGTGGGTATTATTGAGGGCACGTATTGCATGGAGCACTGGGTGTGGTGCATAAACAATGAATCTTGGAACAGTGAAAAGAAATTTTTAAAAATAAATAAAAATTGAAAAAAAAAAAAGAAAGAAACCCAGAGTGCTAAAAGGAATTACTGTATCCATGAAACAGAACTATATGTCTTTAAAAAAGAATACTGACAGACTTTAACACACTTCTTAGAAATGAAGAATATGACTACAGAAAAATATTTATAATAAGATTGGAAGAATAAATGTTAGAAAATCTCCCAGAGAGGGCACATATTGCATGGAGCACTGGGTGTGGTGCAAAAACAATGAATACTGTTAAGCTGAAAATAAATTAAATAAATAAATAAATAAATAAATAAACAAAAAGAAAACCTCCCAGAAAATAAAACACAGAAAATAGGAAAGAAAAGATAAGAAAATCAAAGAACCAGTCCCAGATGTCCAAGAGCTAAGAAAAGAAGTTGTAAAAAGAAAGAGAGTATGAATGGAAGAAAACCATTAGCTATTACAGAAAAATATTCCCAAACTGAAGGACACATATTTCTAAATTGAAAATGTCCAGTAAGCAACCAGCAAAATGGATGCAAATACACCCATCCAAAAGCAAAATACTTAAATCAGAACACTGGAGACAAAGAGTAGTTCTGAGTAGTTCTGAGTAGAGAAAGAGAAGTTCTACTGACTTCAAAGAGTAGATAGAGGATAAGAAGAGACTCAGAAATTAAAATGGCTTCAGACTTCTCAATGACAATGCTGGAAATAAGATGATAATGGAGCAATAGTTTCCAGTTCCTGAAGGAAAATTCATTTCAACCTACAAATAACACCAAGCCAAACTATCATTGAGTGTTCAGGTAGGATAAAAATATTTTCATGCCTGTGAAGACTCAAAATACTTGACCTCTCATGCATCCTTATTAAAGAAGCTAACGGAGAGGGGCACCTGGGTGGCTCAGTGGGTTAAACCTCTGCCTTCAGCTCAGGTCATGATCTCAGGGTCCTGGAATAGAGTCCCACATCCGGCTCTCTGCTCAGCAGAGAGCCTGCTCCCTCCACCCCCCCGCCTGCGTCTCTGCGTACTTGTGATCTTTCTCTGTCAAATAAACAAATAAAATCTTTAAAAAGAAAGAAAGAAAGCTAACGGAAGATGTGTTGGCAAGGGCAGGTCCTAGGAGCATAGCGTAACACCACCAGGAGGGAGGGGTAGCACAGAAGACTCCAGAACACAGTCTTCAGGAAGATGGGACTGAGAAGAGTACAGCTGGAGACTGGAACTAACATAGTGATAAAGACAGAAAACCAAGCAAGTACTCAGTGACAGCAGTAAGTACACAGAACACAAAGCAGACAATTATTAATTCCAGGAAGAATAAGAATTGTGCAGAAAAAAGGAAAAAACACTTTATGACAAGATATAGTTGTGAATAGTATTTATACAGTCTTATAATGTAAATACTGAACATTAGCATAAGTAAACTTACAATGGAGCTATGTTGAGGATGGAGAATTGGAAAGATATGTATGTGTGATACAGAGGAAATAATATAGAAATCTTTTTATAATGAACAGTTAATACATAATACATGAAATCAAGAAGTAGCAATATGTATGTTATACAGCAATGCAGGAAAATATTGAAAAAAATCAGCTAATATTGTTGAAAGAGATTGCCTGGGTAAAAGTAGAAGTAGAAATGGGAAGGGGTTGCTGGTTTTAATTTTTTTGCCTTTTTTTTTTTTTAATGGGGAAATGGCCCATTTTAGGAGAGCTATAACCTCAGCTTTGGCCCAATTTTCCATGCCTTTACATACATAAATGGCAACATCAATTCTTAAACCATTGCTTTTCCTTCTATCAATCTCCCACTCAGCTACTCCCTATTGCCTACAAAATGTTGCCTCTCTGACCCGACCCCACTGCGGACCGTGGGCATGCTGCATCCCTAGGAACAACCTCAGAGTTCCACCATCCTTCCACCCCCATACTCCTGTCCAGGTCTGAGAGCTGCGCATGCCACTTCTCTCCGTATACCAGCCTTTCCAGCAGCAAGTGGTACTCACTCCATAAAACCCTCGTGGACCAATCAAGGCTCTCTAATCTCTCCATCCATATCACTGCTTTTGACAATTCTGTAACAGCAGAAATCCATGAGTATGCTGAACACCATTCTTCTTAAACACCCTCATTTTGTTATGTGTCCAATTCACATGTGTTTTGCCTATATTTTGTGACCACTTAGATGGTCAGATGATCTCCTGCTGGTTTTCTACCTTCCACAGGGTAGAAGTGCTGGGTAGTTTCTTAACCTGCATTTGCTGTATTGAATCACACTGACATTCTGAATAGTGAAGCTCAGACACTGCAAATTAATAAAGCATAGCTAGGTCATCAGATGGAGTTGAAATTATGGTCACCGGGGTTTCAGTTTTAAGGCCATTTTACACTCATTTTCTTTAGATTTTGTATTCCAAGTATTATAACCCAAAATTTATTTTTATTTATTTTTTTAAAGATTTTTTTAATTTATTTATTTGACAGACAGAGATCACAAGTAGGCAGAGAATCAGGCAGAGAAAGAGGAGGAAGCAGGTTCCCTGCTGAGCAGAGAGACCGATGTGGGGCTCAATCCCAGGACTCTGGGATCATGACCTGAGCCAAAGTCAGAGGCTTTTACCCACTGAGCCACCCAGGCGCCCCCAAGAGTTATTTTTTAAATGATAACCCATTTATGGCATAAATAGGGGAAATGTTTTGCAGGCTCCCTCCAAAAAGCTCACTGCGCCAAAGGAACCTCTTATGCTGGGAGATTCGGGTATATGGATAATGCAAATAACATTCTGAAAACTGCCTAGGAGTTAATAAGCCACTCAAGAAGGGTCAACAGGGGGGCACCTGGGTGGCTCAGTTGGTTAAGCATAGGATTTGGCTTAGGTCATGATCTCAGGGTCCTGGGATGGAGCCATGCATCAGGCTCCCTACTCAGCAAGAAGCCTGCTTTCCCTTCTTCCTCTGCCCAGCCCCTGTGCTCACGTTCGCACTCTCTAACAAATAAAATCTATTTTAAAAACTACTACCCAGGAAAAGTAAGTGCCCATGGATTCCTTAAGAAAAAAAAAAAAGAAAAAAAGATTGGTCAATAGGACAGGTTCTAATGACCTGCTCAGAATGTCCAGCCACCTTCTCTCCATTTCCCAAATACATTCCTAAATTTCTAAATCATAATCAGAAAAGAACCATTGTAGACTTCACCTCCTGAGATAGTAAATGAAAAAACACTGTTACTATGGAAACCAAAGGAAAAATCTCAACTCTTACCTCAGTAAGACCTTCTCTTTCACAGAATGTCTGAGAAAAAAACACGCAGGTCATCGTTTCTTCCTTCTTGGTAAAAAGAATAAAGTCTTTCCCAATCCTCATGGATCCACTATATTAAAAATCAAGAACATATTGGTTTACATCTTAAACAATGAAAAGAAGAAAGAGGAGGGCACAAAACTGCACTATAATGAATTGTTCTTTCACAGAAGTAACACCCCTGTTTTGCTGACCCATCACCAAAAGGGTGAAAATAATTTGATTTTTTTTTTTCTCCAAGTAGAGCAGATGGATTTAAACCAATCCAGCTCTACACCCTTGCTTAAGACAGGACTGCTAGAAGTAAGGTGCTGTCCAGGCCTCAAGAAAAGAACAATCATGTGCCCATAGCAGGAGTCAAATGGGTGACAATTTACTCTTGTCCTCACCTTCCATGGAAGCAGACTAATAAAATAAGCTGTGGACACATATTACACCTGAACTAACACACGCTCTGAGAAACAAGAGAACACAGAGATTCGAGGAAGCTCTGAAGTTCAGGGCTTCTGCTACCACACCTGAGAGATGATTCATCCCCTATTTGAGAAATAAATTTACAAATGTTGTAAAGATCCAAGTCAGTTTTCAGTATAGCAATCCCAAAACAAGATAGGACCCTTCAGTTTATATATATCTTTAAAGCTTTACAAACCTAGATCATTCTGTGTAAGACTGCCTTTAAATTAAAATTGTTCCTAGTATCAATAATACATGCTTTAAAGGAAAAAAAATCTCTCACCTTTTGAGACCATTACCATATTGCCCAATAAACTTCAAGGCTGATGACCGTTTCTTGGATGTTCCAAAGTAAATGATTTCTGAAGCTTCCTCTATAATTGACAGACATTTAGGTGGTTAGAAATTAAGAGTCATTGACACTGGCCATAGCTCCAGTTATCAGGATATCACACGTATCTCAGGACATTAGGACAAACCCATACGTCTTGGGTCAGGCCAGGTACAGCTTAATGTGGAGCCCAGAGACAGGCTTCACATTCTGACCAGGATCTTAACTGTAATATATGGAAAGAGGTCAGACAGACCTAGCCACACGACCTTGGGTAAACAGAGTTTAAATTCTGAGTCTTGATTTCCTCATCTCTAAAAAAGTACTAAGACTGATATTATAGAGTTGTTGATGAAGACAAATACATCAAATGTGATCATTTGTTTGTGAAACTCTGAACACAATATACTTAATAAGTGCCAATTAATTTTAAGTGTTACAATTATCCAAACCACTAATCATTTTCCATGAATTTGGCCCTTAGCCAGCTCCATGGAAGACTGAGCAGGGCAGAACGGCTTCTGGTCTGACACTCACTGGGGATGAAGGGCCACTTGTTCCAGACTCTCAGAGTCATTCTCCAGATCTCTCCAGAGCATTCTGGAATTCTAGAGAAGAATTGTCTGAACTTCAAAATATACATACCTCCAGAAACCAGAATGCTCCTAGAGAAACAGGGAAGGATAGAAACGGGTCTCCCAATGGGCATATCTGAATATGTGCTCTGAAAGTGTCCCAAAGACCTGTCTCAGTCTATGTGCAGACACTCTGCTTGTCTGCAGCCAACTGGACATTTTATCACATGTTCTTATAAAGGGATGGGTATTAAGTGAGGGTATCCAAAATAACAATATTAGCTTCCTTTACTGTTTAGTATATGCTAAACAGCATATATTTTACATGCATTGCCTATATAACATTTATAATAAACATACAGAATAAACATACAGAATAGATACTGTGATGATGATCTGCATGTTATGGATGAGGAAATTCAAGTTCAAAGTATACATAATGCATCCAAGGTGAAACAGCTGATGAATGCGACTGTAAGGATAACAATCCAAGGCTGTCAGAGACCATATTCTGGGGTTTTCAAAGCATACCTCCCAGACTCCCACATATGGTGGCTGGAGTTCTGGGAACTGATACAGAACACTGACATTACCCCTGCCCACCACAACTTTATGTCATGGTAGGAAAAGCAGATTAGAAACAAACAAGATAATTTCTAAGAACATTAGTGAAGAAAATAAAACCAGGGTAATGTGATGGAGAATTAACAGAGGTGTGGCCCTCAGAGAGAATGATCAGGGAAGGCTTCTTTCATGAGGTGACATCTGAGATGAGCTACAAATGACAGGCCAGCAGGTGTGGCTGGAATGTTGTTACAAGCAAGGGAGTGAGCACAATGAGAAATGGTCAAAGAGGTGGACAAAGGCTAAATAATGTGAGAAACAGGAAGCATTACTGGGGAGTATAAATTATATCCCAAAGTAATGAAAAACCACTAAGGGTTTTAGGCAGGGGAAGGATATGAGGTGATAATTTGTATTATAGATATCTTTTTGTAATGATCTTATTTATTTATTTGACAGAGAGAGTGAGCAAGTGGGCACACAAGCAGGGGGAGCAGCAGAGGGAGAAAGAGAAGCAGGCTCTCTGCTAAGCAGGGAGCCTGATGCGGGGCTCAATCCCAGAAACCTGGGATCATGACCTGAGCAGAAGGCAGATGCTTAATCTTAACCAACTGAGCCACCCTGGTGCCCTGAGGTCATTTTTATTAAAAGAAAATACCCTTGGGATCGCTGTGTGAGGAATGGACCATGATGGGGAAGACTGGAAGCCAAGAGTGAAAATTCCTTCAGTCATCCTCTGGGTCAAGGTTGATTTAACTCAGTTTGGGCCACAGACAGGTTCTACCTTTAGTCATCAGATAAACTCTTCCTTCCAACTTATTACTTGATTTTCAATCAATGTTTTTCTTTAAAAGATTTTATTTACTTATTCGAGAGAGAGCTTGAACACAAGCTGGGCAAGGTGGGGAGGGGGCATAGGGTCAGAGGGAGAGGAAGAAGCAGACTCCCTGCTGAACAGGGAGCCAGATGCCCGGCTCCTGGGATCATGAGCTGAGAAGGCAGATGCTTAACCAACTGAGCCACCCAGGTGCCCCAATTTCCAATCGATATTAATAAGAATGGCTCTCTCACCACTAGCAGGCTTTTAAAAATAGTCCTGTATATTGGGCTGCCTGGGTGGCTCAGTGGGTTAAGCCTCTGCCTTCGGCTCAGGTCATGATCTCGGGGTCCTGGGATCGAGTCCCACATCAGGCTCTCTGCTAGGCAGGGAGCCTGCTTCCTCCTCTCTCTCTCTCTACTTGTGATCTCTTTCTCTGTCAAATAAATAAAATCTTAAAAAAAAATAGTCCTGGATATTTCAACTAAAGTATGAGTTCCTTCTGAAGATGAGCATTTGCCATTTTTCTGTGTTTTCATCATTTTGCTCATGGCCATATTATAAAAGGAGTTGCTTCTTTTTCTATTTTCTTTTTATTTAAGGAAGTGCCTTAGAATATATCATACATTTTGTTATTTAGATATTCAGGAAAATGAACTTAACGGTCAGCCTAGAAGTGAAAAACAAAACTTTTTTTCATCATGATTTTCTCACAAACTCTCTTCTTTCTTTTAAACACTAAGGAACCAACAATACCTTGAGTCAAAATCACCTGGAGAAATCAAAATTATCCCAACAAAGTCAGAATGAGACCTGAGTAAGATATTTGGCCATTTTCTAAGCTTGCTAATAATTTCTGACTATTCATACCAAGAGAGTACTTCAGAGACTAGCAAGAAGATAACTGCTTTACTTTGTATTCTGAGTTTCCAAAAGTGACAAGAATGCTTTCCACTGCTGTAGAAAAGACCAGAACTGTTCCCTATTACTCGAACTCCCCTCACGATTTTTTTTTTTTTTAACCTAGCGGTCAACCACCTTGTCTTGTGGGACATAGACAAGTATTAAGTAAGAATTCAGGGATAAGTTATCCCAAATGACTCAAAGCTCTTATCAGAAGAAATAACATTTCAATTTCATAGTAAACTGGTATCATGCCCCCACTGTGTGTTGTGTTTTGGTTAGCCTTGAAGGTACCCTCCCCAAAAAAAAGAAAGAAAGAAAAAGAAAAATCATGCAAAGAATTGTAGATGTATTCATTATGGTGAGAACAGCTGACTGAAGCTACTAAACCTTTGAACATACCGAGAAAAAAAATCTACGCTAAAAACAAGAAGAGGTAACCTCTTCCTCAAGGTTAAGCAGAAAATTAAAAACAGTCTGAAGGCACTGGAAACTGCCTTAGGCCTCTTGCAAGCAATACCTGAAGGGTGGGCTCAAACAACTTCCAAATCCATCCAGTTACCCCGCCTTTTCCATTGATTCCCAGATGTTTTTCCTCACACATAATCACACCTTCTGCTTTTCATCTTTCTTGCAGTATTTATCTACACTCCCTTTTTGTCTTGGTTTAGATGATTACAATTAATTTACTCTGTCAGCTGGAATATTTAAATCTAGAAAGTTCAGCAATATGGTAAGTCTAGGGTTTATTTTCCCTTAATAGCTCCATACCTGTTTTTGCATAGATAGCTCAATTTATTTTTATTTGTTTGATGGGTTTTCTGACTGTTTCCCCGAACAGCCAGTTAGGTATCCAGATAATTAACTTACCAGGATTCATACCACATCCATCATCCAGGAAGCACAACATGAATCCACCCTGCAGTTTTTCATTATCCACTGTAAGAGAAAGCAGTTAATTCGTTATTACTGATAAATATGGGCCTTAATTTGTTCATCAGAAAGTCATGCTGCTTACATAATTATCTGTCCCCCTCAAAGACAGCCACGGAGTAACAGAGTGAGGGCACAAAGATGACACTCAGAAAGGTGTCCAGGCTACAGTTTCACAGGACACTGCAGGGGGAAGACAGTCCTGCACCAAGAAATCATTTAAATTATAAATTTATATAAATTATTATATAAATTTATATAAATTATTAAATTATAAAAATTATTTAAATTATCATGAAACATCTAAACATTAATAAATTATGTGTACAGTGGGGCTTGCCCTGCTCTGGAATCCGCCTGGCCTTTAAACTTCAGGTGTTTTCCACCCTGGGGGTGGGAATAAAGGGAGATGGTGATGTGACCCCAGGATCCCTCTACCCACTGATCCACCTTTGTGCCCTTCCACCAAAGCACTCATTCTAAAGCCAATCCATGCTGTTCTTCTTTAATTCCTCAGGCTCTCCTGTTGGTAGTTAATTCCCATAAGAGTCATTTCTGTGTGCTTTTAGTGGCAGTAAATATTTGCCTCTTGAAACAGCATTTGATTTTTTTAAATGGTCAGGTTATTTGGAATCAATTATGGTGGTCAAGAGATATCATCAAGATAACAGATAGTCATCTCTTGTTTAAAAAAACAAAAAACAAAACTAATGAGACTAATTTTAATGCTCAGTTTGTGATCTGGCCAATCTGGCTCTGAGAGTAATTTCAACACTTGGATATATGACTTCTACCACATCTCTCTTTCTCTCTCTCTCTCTCTCTCATTCTCTCTCTCTTTTTTTTTTTTTTGGATAATAGCTTGAGAAATAGCCTACACACCAAAAAACTGCCTATGTGTAAAGCGTACAGTGGGATGAACTGTGGCATATGTACATACTTACAAAATCATCATCACAATCAAGGTAGTGAACATACCCATCACCTCAGACATTTCCTCAGGTCACTCTACAGTCTCTCCCTTCTGCCTTCTTCCGTGCCCATCCCCCCACACCAACCTCAGGCAGCGACTAACTCTATACCTATGATTCAGTTGTAGCACATTTGTTAAGTCGATTCTATGTTCAACGGTCACCCCTGATCAACATTTTAAAAGTCAAATAGTGTTAAGATAATCTGTAAATAAATATATAAAACATATACCTAAGCTTTCTGGCTTCATAATTTTTTTTTAATTTTATTTTTTATAAACATATATTTTTTTTCCCCCAGGGGTACAGGTCTGTGAATCACCAGGTTTACACACTTCACAGCACTCACCATAGCACATACCTTCCCAATGTCCATAACCCCACCCCCCCTCTCCCAACCCCCCTCCCCCCAGCAACCCTCAGTTTGTTTTGTGAGATTAAGAGTCACTTATGGTTTATCTCCCTCCCAATCCCATCTTGCTTCATTTACTCTTCTCCTACCCCCTTAACCCCCCATGTTGCATCTCCTCTCCCTCATATCAGGGAGATCATATGATAATTGTCTTTCTCCGATTGACTTATTTCGCTAAGCATGATACCCTCTAGTTCCATCCACATCGTCACAAATGGCAAGATTTCATTTCTTTTGATGGCTGCATAGTATTCCATTGTGTATATATACCACTTCTTCTTTATCCATTCATCTGTTGATGGACATCTAGGTTCTTTCCATAGTTTGGCTATTGTAGACATTGCTGCTATAAACATTCGGGCGCACGTGCCCCTTCGGATCACTTGGATTCATAATTTTATGGTCACATGCCCACTTCTAATTCCCTACCACCCCCAATATTTCCCTTCCTGTCTATAAGCACTTTGGATCTTCCCTACCAATTCGTTTTCCCAGTTCTTCTCTCTGCCTGGTCCTCTGGAGTGCTTACCTCAACTCACCTATCAGAATATTCCTCCCCACTTTGCTCAGAGCAAACCCCATTATTTAACAAAGGGAAACCAACTCTTGTGGAGTTCTTTGCCAGTGAGGTGGTTCTCAACTGTGGCTGAACATTTTAATCACACGGAGATACTATGAATTAACTGGTCTCGGGTGAGGCTCAGGAATAAACATCTCCCCCAATTATCTTACTGCATATCAGCACTAGGAACCACCTGATCCAAGCCTTAGGTGGCTCTGTACAGATTTTGCAGCTCTTGGGATAAAGTCCCCATGTAAGGAACTTGCAGAAAGAAGGGAATTTCTTTGGCAACAAGGTGGGAAAGACTCAAAATTCCCAAGATACATATACAGTGCTTACTTTTTCTATAAACCCAAGAGAGGAACTACAAACAATCATAGCCTTGGAATGTAATATTCCCCTACTATCCACACTGAAGCTTGGTCATGTTTATTTCAATTCCTTAAAGCTAAGAATTCTAGATAAATTTCCATTATCTGTCAAATACGCATGTCTAAAACAAACCCCAGCACCTTCTCCCTCATCAGACTTAACTTCCCCTTCTAATGTTTCCTGTTCAATAAATGTCCACCACTCTGCCATTAGGCTTCAGCTCCCCAAGTCAAAACCTCAGGACTGCCATGTCTTCTCAATTCCACCCCCTTAATGCCTTTCAAGTTTGAGCACATTCTCCATCACCACGACACTGCCCTAGCTCAGAAAGTCATCATCTGTCTTCTGAATTACAGCAACAGCTGCCTCACTCCTTGTTCCTGCTAAAAGCAGAGTGCAGACCAGTATGCATTTCACAATTAATTTTATGTGTCAACTTGGTTAAGCTCTGGTACCCAGCTCTTTGGTCAAACTTTAGTCTAGATATTGCTCTGAAAACATTTGTGGATATAATTAACATTTACAATCAGTTGACTTTAATAAAGCAAATAACTTCCATAATATGGGTGAGCCTCATCCAATCAGTTGAAGGCCTTAAAGGCAAAAACTGAAGTTCTTCAAAGAAGCAATTTTCTGCATCAAGACTGCAACAAAGAAATTGCGCTTGAGTTTCTAGGCTGCTGGCCTACCCTGAAGATGAAGAACTTGAGAATACAACATAAACTCTTAGCTGGATTTCCAACCTGCCAGCTGCCCCACAGACTTCAGGTGTGCTGGCCCCCACCCCACAATCCTGTGAGTCAATTCCTTAAAATCTCTCCTTCTCACCCTCCCCAAACACTCTATCAATAGCTATAGATGTAGACAGATACAGATATATATATCAATATAGCAACACACATATATATCTACAGTGGAGGGAGGCAGATCAGATCTGTCCATCTATCTGTCTACCTGTCTGTCCATGTAGCTATCTCGTACAGGTTCTGTTTCTCTGTAGAACCCTAACAATTACACTCTCCAAGCTCACCACTTGTCATTCCCTCCCCACACCCATACTTCAAACTTCCCCTTCCATGCAAATATTCTCCTTAACTAACCTTGAGCATCGCAAACATTTTTGCAACTCCATTGGTGTTTTATGTTCTCTCCAAATTCAAGCCCCTGCATATGCTCCCCCTTTTCCTTTTCTGCCCCTGATTCACGAGGTGGAAGCCTATTTCCCCTATAGGTCTTTAGATCCAGTAAGGTTCCTTCTAGGACAACTGCTCATTCCCACACGTCATCAGGAGCCTACAATGAACATTTTCTTTGTAGTTTGTGTTCCCCACTTTCTTATGTATCTCTTTATCTTTCAAACTGTTGGCTCTTACATTTTAAAACACAGTAGCCTCAGAGATATGGTGAAAGCTAAGGGCCCTCCACTCATGAAAGTGAAGATATACAGCGTATTTTCTACAGACCCCCACGCTAGGATGGGGTCTTTCTTAAGAGCAGGCACTGCATGCTTAACACTTAACCTAGTGCCTGCCACTTGCTAAGCACATAAAAAAATTTTTAACTGCAAATCCACATTTACTAGAACCAATACATATGAACAGATAAACAACAATGGCCAAACATGTTTAGTTTGAACTTTATGGTCCTCCCTCAAGTTACCTGAAGAAAATTTAAGATTAAAAAGTAGGGGCACCTGGGTGGCTCAGTGGGTTAAGCCTCTTCCTTGGACTCAGGTCATGATCCCAGGGTCCTGGGATCAAGCCCCACATCGGGCTCTCTGCTCAGCGGGGAGCCTGCTTCCTCATCTCTCTCTCTGCCTGCCTCTCTGACTACTTGTGATCTGTCAAATAAATAAATAAAATCTTAAAAAAAAAAGATTGAAAAGTAATTCAGGGGCTTCAGTAAATAATCTGAAGACTGGCTCAATGCTTAGATTAATTATTTATCCCCATATCAATTCTATCTATTGCTGTATAAGCCCTGACCCTGGCTTATTACTTTAAGAAAAATTGATTTGCTAAGTTGATAGCCATATTGTGATTTGCAGCAATAAAAAATTTTATAACATGAATAGGTACTTTTTTTATGAATAGGTAATTTAAAACCAAAAACCATAAGTTCAGTTTTTCACAAAACACATAACCTATAAAGAAGTGCCATTCTGAAGTCAAATGGCAAAGACTGTATGTGTGTGTGTGTGTGTGTGTGTGCGCGTGCATGGGCGACAATTGCTAGAGAAAATTGGGGAAATGAGTACAGCCATGCCCTGATGGTGTTCTGCTACAAACCCAAAAAAACATAACATGTGAACTCCAATGACATTTGTTGTGCTTTGTGATTCTGGATCATTCTTCTCAACCCTTCAACCCCTCATCAATAATATGTGAGCTCTGGGGGCACCTGGGTGGCTCAGTCAGTCAAGCTTCTGCCTTCACCTCAGGTCATGATCCCAGAGTCCTGGGATCAAACCCAAATCAGGCTCCCTGCTCAGTGGGGAGCCTGCTTCCCCCTCTCCCTCCGCCCCTTCCTTCCCCCGACCTCATGCTCACTCTCTCACGTGCTCTCTCTTACATAAATAAATAATATCTTCAAAACTATGTGTGTGTGTGTGCTGTTAATGAAATGCAGCTTAAATCTTTTCTCCTTCTCCATTTCTAGGACCACTTCCTTAGTTCCAATTCTCATGAAATCTTCCATAGGTCATTTCCATAGCCCCACACCCCTGCTAACCCATCATTCACACTTCTAAGGATCACCCTGCATGCTATGGCTGGAGTAACTTTCTTCAAAAAGGGCACATTTCTAATTTGCCAAATGATATTGCTCAAAATTCTTCAGCAGTCACCGTCTATAGAAAGAAACCTTAGCATGGCATTGAAGGTGCTCATCTCTTTAGCTCTAACAATTAGCTTTATCAACCTGGCCTACTCATTGTTCTCTGACTGCTTTTTCTCCAAATACCTACACAGTTCGCTCCCTCACCTCATTCAGGTCTTTGACCGGACACCACCTTAGAGAAACTCTCCCTGTTCACATCATGAAAAATAGTACACCCTGCCGATTGCTCTTTGTTCTCTTCACCCACTTTCTTTTTCCTTTTAGCACTTTTCATTGCTTGGTGTATCATTTGTTCACTTCCTCACTGTCTCTCTCCCCCTCATGAGAACACACATTCCTGACGACACGTATTTAGTCACACATGTGGCTCTGTGCTCTATCCCTAGCACCTGGTTCATTCATGACAGACACTCAATAAACTGTTATTGAATAAATGAATCTCTAAAATGATCTACTTTCATTCTCTTTCGCACAATAATTTCTCAGACAGGGATATCCTTTTTTTTTTTTTTTTTCAAAGACTACTTGACAAAAACTACATCTATATGTTAGGCCCTAGCTCTTTATTATGAGGTATTCTTTCTCTGTGTTCCTACCATACTTTGAGCCTCTCCTGGGCAAGAAACACTTATTCTATCTTATACTATCTAAGGGGATATATAAGGGAAGACCACTTTTTCACCACTACTGGTATTTCCTTCCATGTGAAATGGAGTGACATTAATATTAGTAGAGGAGCCCTTCTCTGTCCCTTGACTCACTTCTCACTCATCTGACTGGTAACCTAGGGAAGAATCATCTAGGGAGGCTCAGTTCAGATCTCTCCAGCTCTCATGTTCCCTCCTGGGAGTGAGCTGCCTGCAGAGTGCATGAGCTCTGCTCTGCTCACTCCAGGCAGACCGGTGTTGAAGGGAAGCCTGACTCCACAGGTTGGGCAAGTATCTGATTCTGGGGTATAACCAGCAAATCCGCTGGATTTCTCACGCTAACCTCCACTTTTGAATAATAAAGACTGACTAGCATTTTTTAATGAATAATAAAGACTGACCCTCTTGACCTTCTCAAACTTTTCAGAACCTGAATCGTAGAAAGGGAAGAAGAGCGTTCATTTATTATGTTTTCTCAAATGTCTCGAGATGTCCATGTCTCTCTGCCTCATGAACCAGAAGCAGCCACTTAACACGGGATTTTCTTTTTCTTTTTTCTTCTTAGTATGCTTCACGCCGAATGTGGGGCTTGAACTCACAACTCTGAAATCAAGACTTGAGATCAAGAGTTGGATGCTGTACCAACTAAGCATCCAGATGCCCCACAGGATCTTAAACACTTAAAAAATTGAACTGAACTGAGCTTTTTCATTATAAATACAGATTGACATCATGGACCATATATTCTTGCCTGTGACCAACAGCCAATGTTTACAGGACAGCTGACAGAATCAGGGTTGGGGATCAGTTTTAACACTGCAGACATTTACCCAGGCAGTATTAAATACAAGACTGGATCTCAGAACCTAAATTCATCCGCATCATATTCTAATGAAATGAACTATTAAGTACAATAATTATTTGGTGACTAAAAATGAAGTCAGGGAAGAAAACATACTTTGCTTGAATTTTAGAGCCCTCAAACATTCATGCTTCACATTCACTTACACGTTTTAAAACTGTGGTAAGTTGAGAATGATGTATATTTAATTATGAATAACCATTAAGTTAATGTGCTTTTAAAATAAAACTGTTTTCTTGTGGCAGGCAAATTGACTGTTCCACATCACTCTGATACTTTCACAAAACCCTGGAAGATCTAATTTTGTAAATGGGTCCCCTAACAAGTGAACAATTCCACTCTCAGAGTATACTTTTCTCAACCTGGCTCCCCACAGGGTCACTGTACTCACAAAGTACTTAAATTACATTAGAAATCTATAAAAAGTGCTTTGATTTCATGAAATAAAATGAAAGCAAAATAACGATAGGCTTTTCCATTAGAAGGGGAAAAAAAGAAAACAAATATGCTCACCTGAAAATACATCAAGTCTTGCAGCCCCTGCATCTCTGGAAACAATATAAAAATATCACTGCTTCAATACGAAATTATGTTTTAAAAAATTACATTAATCTGAATTGCTTATGTGATGTATAACCTATTGTCAGATAGCAAATAATAGAGAAATCCACTTAAATTGCTTCAAAACAGTTACTAAAATGTTTCACTCTACATTTATGTACTAAGACCTGTGATCGTTCATAATTTGAGAATGTTACAAAACCTGAAACTTGGAAATTTGAAAGAATAGATGGAATTTAATGGTAGTTACACAAAAACTCACCAAAAATGGATATGAATATTTAAAAAAAAAAACTAGTTGGATAATAATCCATAAATTGCAGACAGATTTTCATGTTATATTTTAGTTCCCCAAAAATGATAAGAAAAAGCAAATTACTAATATGTACTGTGTGATCATATATGTTTTTGAAGAACATATATGATGTGCATGTCCATATATGTAAGGAAATAAATCCAAACAGTGGTTTTCTCTAGATCGGAGCTTGGCAAATTATGGTCCAAAAGCCAAATGGGGCCTACTAACTGTTTTTGTAAATAAAGTTTTATTGGAACACAATCATGTCCATTCATTTACATATTGCCTAGGCGGCCTTCACAGCACAATGGCAAAGTTCAGTAGTTTCAACAGGGAACACACAGCCTGCACAGGGAGAAATATTTACTTTCTGGTCTTTTACAGAGAAGCAAGCTGATACCACCTCCCCTGTCATGTAATGAGATTACTGATGACTTTCTTTTTCTTATTATTTTCTCAGTTTTCTACAGCTCACAGATATTGTGTATTTTCTTAAATTATTTTTTAAAGAAGAAATCCCAGAAGAAAAAGAACAAGAGCCAAAAGAGCCTGGGTTCAGTGTGAGGGGTGAAGACAATGAGGACAGCGGTCTTAGCTGATGCAGCAGTAGAGGGGTTGTGTAAGGGAAGCTCGGAGTAATAACAATCGCTGGGACTCTAACCGGGAAATTTGAGGCTCTCCCAAAACTTCCATCAACTCCAACCCAAAACTATACCAGGTAAGTCTGAGTAGGTACAACGGCTTGTTCTACAAGCCTTCAAAGTTGGCCCCTTAGCTCCTTCCTCTAGCCAGTTGCTTTCATAAGCTCTTCCTTTATGGAAATTCGGGAGGCACTACTGCCATTTCTTGGAGCGTTTTCTGTGGCTCAAGTAAGCACTAAATCAAGTATTTTTAAGCCTCTCCTAACCCTTACCACAATCTCATGACACAAGAGTATCATCGTCTCCATTATATAATTATACTTTATGCAAAACACCATGTACATGATAGGTGCTCAGTAAATGCCACTGCTGCCCTGAAATGGAAGTTTTTCAAAGAAAGAGTTTTCATAGAAAAATTCCATGGAATAAGACAGAAAAATCATTCACCTCTACAGCACATTAAGACATTTTATAGGGATACCTGCATGACTCAGTTAGTTAAGCGACTGCCTTGGGCTCAAGTCATGGTCCCAGGGTCCTGGGATCGAGTCCTGCATCAGGCTTCCTGCTCAACGTGCCACTCTTTCTGCTTGTGCTCTACCTCTCTTGGTCAAATAAATATTTTTTTAAAGATTTTATTTATTACAGCGAGAGAGGGAACACAAGCAGGGAGAGTGGGAGAGGGAGAAGCAGGCCTCCCCGCAAAGCAGGCCGGAAGCCCGATGCGGGGCTCGATCCCAGGACCCTGGGATCATAACCTGAGTCGAAGGCAGAGGCTTAACCACTGAGCCACCCAGGTTCCCCAATAAAATATTTTTTAAATACATTTTATAATAAGCTTTATAGTTTAACCCTGGTACTTTCTCTCTGACCAGCTGTCATATCAGGAAGAGGCCACCAACCATCTCTTCCTATACTGGCACATTTTTTGCCTGATGTCTACAATATTGTTTTAATATCCTCCAGTTTTAATTTTGACAACCACAGGAAACTCTTAAATAAAGTGATATAAACTAACTTCTCAGAATAACACAGGAACTTCATGAAGACCTTCTTCATGAGAACAACTAGGCATCTTGAGTAAGTCTATGAAAGAGCTTCATGTGATATCAATTATTAGCATCTGAGCAACCTTGGCAAACTCCAGTGTCTGCTGAAGACAGAGGAACTGGTTTGGTCCAGGCTGGCTATGGGGACCCCTGGGAACACCAGAAGGCACAGACTGGTTAGTCCCAAGAGCACACGGGCTATGCCACCTGAGCCCAGTGACCAACCTTGGGGCTGCTACTTCTAATCTTTAAAGAAAAAGCAGGAGGGAGGTGAGGGGTGAAGGCAGGGGACATAGATTTCTCGTGTGGCACCTCCTGTTTCTTAAACTTTATAGGCAATCCCTTCTTTGCTGCTTTTTCTTTAGAATTCCCATGCAAACTCACCCTGAGTCAAACAGGAAACGGGCTAGACTTGGTCAGAGGCCTGACAGTTTACAGATGCTGCTCTGAGAATTGTTTTATTGATCACATTTCTCTCACTCCCTTGGGTCTGAAGTCAATTTTTCTTTGCGAATCTCCTTCTACCACATGGGGCGGTTTAGAGATGAGCTTTACCTTGCATTGTCCAGCAATTCGGCTAACGCTCCAAAAAGGAAACTGTGCGTGGTGCTGATGAAGAAAGAGGGAAAGCCCCAAGTTAAACCAACTTGTAATGAGCATAAAAGCTTCAGGACACGTGCAGACAAACCTTCTCCGCTTCAGGACAGTTAATCAATTAAGGACTTATTCTAGAAACAACTTTCTCAGCACGGTAAGATTCTGAAGTAGATGCGGTCTATTACAAAGCCACGGCTAAGAACACGATTGCCAAAATAGCTTGTTTGTTTCTAATAAAACAGAGACTTCAAGGACCTTACTGTACGTACGGCAAATTCTGGTGTTTTCAAATTGCTTCATAAGCATTTATTCAAGTTTTTTTTTGGGAGAACTTGTCATTAAAATTGTATTATTTAAGGTCAAATTATTTCTGAAAGATCTTGATCAAAAACTTGGCATACCAGAAGGCCTTAAGGCTCCATCTGCAGGCACAGTCACTGACAGGGGACCCCTGTTTGTGCCGCTAATCCTCTCTTCATATTTTTCTGAAGGCCCTTTTCTCCTCTGAATTACCTATGGTCATTCTTCCCTGTACCCCTCATGCTAGGTCCTGGGTAAAAGAACACAGTAGACAGCCACCATTAGTAGCTGCCTTTGGGGGCCCACACTTGGCTTTTCATTTCCTGATGTAGATATTTCAGTCAGCAACTCTATCACAGCATTAAGGGAAGATTCAGTCTGCAATTTTCTTTTTTATATTTAGTAAACGGGTAGCAGAAGCAGGAGAGACCCACTGATCAAAAAACATCGACTCATTTGTACAGAAGAAAGATCATCGGCAATGTCTCTGAGGTTCCAAAAACCTTAGGCCACAAGAAACACATTAGCCAAAAGTTTATTTCATTTTTAAGATTTATTTATTTATTTTAGAGAGAAAGAGCATAAGCTAGTGAGTGGGGGAGGGGCAGAAGGAGAGAAAGAATTCTCAAGCGGACTGAGCAGGAAGCCCAAGTTGGGGCTGGATCCCAGGACCCCGAGATCACAACCTGAGCCAAAATCAAGAGTTCAACGCTTAACCGACTGCACCAACCATGTACTCCTCCATTTTGGGGGAATTTTAAACTTTAAACACATGCTGATGTGGGATCTCTTGACTCTAGTCAAGTCTGTAATTAAAAAAATAAATAAATACAACTGCTGTGAAAAGATGGCCTTCACTCAAAAGAAATCTAGAGTATAAAAACCTAAAACAGAGAAAAAGCGAAGGTTATATGCTTTACAAAAGCGGCATTTGAAACCACAGGACTTACTAGTGAATTCAAAATACATGATTTAATATACAAAAGCTCAACGTACAAACAATACCTTAGGAAAGTAACCGCGGTCATTCTGACCAAGAAGTGCCATAGAGGTTTCTGTTCTATTTCACTCAAGAGATTTTAACACACTGCTCGCCATGTGCTAATGTGGACAGACAAGGTCTTCACCATCTTGGGACTCAAGCCAGTTGGGGGGATATGAAAAACATACAAGTAAACAGACATAGAGATGATATGGCAGATCATGATTAGATACCATGAGGGAAGGGTGATGGGGAAGAGTAATGGTAAGCAGAGGACATGGTGGTCAGGGAGAGCCTCTCTTCATAGAAGACATTTAAGCTGAGTCCTGAAGGCTGAGGAGAACTCAGTCCCTTGCAGAGCCGGAGAGGAAACTCTGCAGCAAGAGAAGCATCTGCAAGGACAGGGATGCAGGAAGGAGCCAAGGAGGCCAGTAGGCTCTGGCTATGGCGAAACAGGGCGAAGATGTGTAGATACTGTGTGGCCGGTCACGAACAGCCTTCTACTCCATGCTTAGGAGCTTGTACTTCTCCTAGATGTCACTGGAAACCATGGTCATGTTTTAAGAAGAGTGACATATCTGCTTTACTTCTTTAAAATCTCACTCTGCGGGGGGAGCCTGGGTGGCTCAGTGGGTGAAGTGTCTGCCTTTGGCTCAGGTCATGATTTGGGGGTCCTGGGAAGCTCCCTGCTCAGTGGGAAGTCTGCTTCTCCCACAGCCCCTCCTCCACTAGTGCTCTAATAATTAAATCTTTTTTTTTTTAAAGATTTTATTTATTTATTTATTTGACAAACAAAGATTACAAGTAGGCAGAGAGGCAGGCAGAGAGAGAGGAGGAAGTAGGCGCCCTGCTGAGCAGAGAGCCCCATGCGGGGCTCGATCCCAGGACCCTGGGATCATGACCTGAGCCGAAGGCAGAGGCTTTAACCCACTGAGCCACCCAGGCACCCCAGTAAAATCTTTTTTAAGAAATAAAAGATCTCACTCCGGCAGCTCTCAGGAAAAATGGACCATCAGCGAGTAAGAATGGGAAGCAGAGAACCCAGTTTAGAGGCTACATGGATTATCTCCCCAAGGAGACAGCAGCTGGTCTGGACTGAAGTCAAGGGCAGCGGCAATACAGAGGAATGGATGAATCAGAGACATAGAGAAACGGTGAAGAGGATTTGATGTTGAATTGAATATGGAAGCGAAATGAAGAGAAAAAAAAAATCACTCCTGCTCTTACTGAAGGAACTCACAAACAAAAATCTATCTGGAGAAGCGGAGAAGATGCCAATTTGTATCTGATTTTGTGGTTATTCCTTCACACTGCTGTCACTTAAGTTAGTGCGCCACCAACTGACAATGGGTTGCAGGCAAGGGGGAACCCGGGGATGGGAGGCACCCTGGGAATAACAGCTGTGATAACTACACAACACTGAGGCTGAGAAGGTTTCCTAAGATAAAATGCATAGTCCTTCCAACATTCCACCCGTAATTTTTCTTTTTTTTTTTTTTTAAGATTTTATTTATTTATTTGACAGAGAGAGCCACAGCTGGAGAGGGAACACAAGCAAGGGGAGTGGGGGAGGGAGATTAGGCTTCCCACGGAGCAGAGAGCTGGATGCAGGGCTTGATCCCAGGACCTTGATCATGACCTGAGCTGAAGGCAGGCGCTTAATGACTGAGCCACCCAGGCACTGCTCCACCAGCAATTTTTCTTAAACTCGACTCAAAACTGCTATTTCGTCATTTGTCTCCCGTCTCAGTTAACCTTTAAATATTTGTTCTATCCTTTCCAGCTTGAAATTATTCTCTAGATAAAAAGATTTAAAAAAAAGTAAACATCTGCCAAATACTGCCTATTTTACTTTGTCTTCTATAAAAATTACATGCTTGTCCCAAGCAGCAAGGCTGGCTTTGCCTGGCATTCTTTACACTTTCATTTCTGTGGTTTCAAACCTGGTGAATCCCTTGTATCAATCCGTACTTTTAGCAACTCCGGATTACTCAAAGACCAAAAAACCGGCAAAGCAGGATGAACTACACAAGCACTCACTGCTAGGCTGTGCTGTGTTGGAGATGACAGATGGAACAGGAAGTCCCTGTCATCGGTCTCTGGGAACCTAAGTATCTGAAATTAACACCTGATGAGGCTGCAAAAGGCACCTGGGCCTGACAGAGAAGCCCAGTGCTCTAGCAATAACTAAAATGGGAGGATTCTATCCTGGGAGAGGTTAGGTTTTTGCAAGGACACAACGACAAAGACTGGAATCAATAAATACAAATTACTCTCTGGAGGGCAAACTTAATCTTGAAAGTATCAGTGCACTGGGCACAGAAATCACAAGCCATAGGCCAGGTTGGTAGAATTAGGGTTCCGCTAGCCCCCAATTAAATCGCTAAATGCGGGGACTTCTTAACCACCTGGTGTTAATTTTAGGACAACAAAAAGGTTTATAACCTAGCCCAGAGCAGGGGCACCTGGGTGGTTCAGTTGGTTAGGTGTTGGGACTCTTGATTATGCTCAGGTCACCATCTCAGGGTCCTGAGACTAAGCCCCGTGTCATGCTCAGTAGCATGGGACCTCTGAAATTCTCTCTCCACGAGCACCCGCCCGCAACTCCAGCACACTGGCACAAGTTATTCTCCCTAAAAATAATCATAATCTGGCCCAGAATGGTATCTTTTCTACTTTTTCATTATTTTTTAATACAAAAACTTTAAATAAAATTTCCATAAATCGATAATACCAAATTCTTTTTTTTTTTTTTTTTTTTTTTTTGGTCAAATTGGGTATTTCACTAGGAGACAGACCCAAACTCTTCTCCACTAGTGGGGACCCTCCCTCGTTCAGGCTTCACCGGACACTCACGAATTGGCGTGGATGAAATCCAGACGCAGCTGAGCCCGCCGCAGAGTTGCGTACTTGTCACCCATGTCCTCGAACTCGACCAGCGCAGCCCTAAGACTTACGGAGGGTGGAATAGCTGTATCCAGCCCTTGCCCCGCCCACGTGCTGGTTCCCGCCCACGTCTTCTTCCCTGCCCACGCCCTCCTCCGCCCACGCTCCCGGCTGTGCACAAACACCAGCTCGGCAAACACCCACTCCCCCTGCCGGTTAGAAGGTGAAGTTCACCCTGGGCTGCCAGCCTGGGTATCCGGCAAGGTAAGTCTATTCCTTGTCTTGAATCCATTCTTGAGAATGAGGCATCTGAGCTAGACTTCTCTTTCCACATTGAGATTTATTTAACCTTCCCGCATAGTTGTTCTGTCATTCTCGGATGGGAAATGGAGCCCAAGGCTGGGATCAGAATTTGATGAGAAATGATTGCGCACACGCACGCACACACACACACACACACACAAAGAATTTGAAGAGGCTGGGTCTGGAGGTTGGGGGTTATAGAGAAGGAAAATGGATAGTTTTCCTTTACTTGCATTAGTTTGTTACACAGCATCAGAGGTGTTTGTGTTCTAACCCATAGCGTACCTTCCTGTGTTTCTTGGGTTGAGACTGTTAACTCCCATCAAAGAAAGTAAGGAAGAAAAGATCAGTCAGAGAGAAAAAGGAAGGACTAAAGGCGGTCAGAACAGAATTTGGACTTTGCTGTGATGTGGAGGCTTGTGTTTGTGAGAAACTTTCTCACCTGTCAGCTGATAGTCAACTCTTTTATGTGCTGGCCCTCAGCTCAAAGAACAGACATTCTGTACTGTTCTATAAGATAGAACTGGGCAGGTAAAGGTTCAGGGAAAAGAGGGGGTGGGGGGGAATGTAAGGAAGGACTATGAGCACCAGCTGTCCAAATGCTGTGTTCCACTGAGTTCCAAGTCACAGAAACCCCAGCTGAAATAGCACTTGTCAAAGATGTTTTCTGGGATGGTCCTGGTAGTAATGAGAAATTAGAGTTAACCTAGTTGACCTCTAAAAAGTGTTCAGATTCATTCAATCTAGGGTTAGTTCAATAGCACTCAGCAGCAATTTTGTGATAGTTTTGAAATCAGAAATGAATGTCTATTGAATAAAGAACTTGAACTAGATGTGTTTGTGATTTCCAGGCATCATATAAGCAATGAGGTCTCAGAAAAGAAAAAAAAAATGTCAGTTTTGGGATAATCATTTTACTTCTAAAGAAAGTAGTTTATCAGCTACTACATTTATAAGAATCAGGAGAGGAAGAGAGAATTTGAATGACAACCCAAAGGAACATGATGCTCTACTTTAATTTGAAAACTGGAAGTAAACATAAACATTTCAAGTAATTTCCCTGATTGCATTTTTGTTTTAACAGTGGCTGACATGGTGGTGTTTTGATAGGAAAATTCTCTTTACTAAGTAACTTGAGCTGTCTTTCCAATTTCTCCTTCCATAGAACTTCAGACATATGATATTTATTTTCATTTTATGAACAAGAAAAGCTTGACAAGCCTCTTCTGGATTTATTTTACTACCCCAATTTCCAGCTGCTATCTCAAAGCAATTTACTATTGGGAGGGCACTGGACCACTCGCCTGTAATTAGTAAAGGCTGTAATATCTAATTCTACCAGAGGGAAGGGTGTGATTATCATAGAATCAGGTCTTCTAATAATATGAGAGGAGCCCTTCTACAGTAAGTAGCCAGCCCCAAAGCACTAAAGGCTTCTGGTTGGCCTGGATAGCAGGCATTCAGGGGGAATCTGTTAGATATGCTAAAACAGAGACCTGAGAGTCATTGCACACAACCCCCAAAAGCCGTTCCTCTTCACCATTTCAACTCCACCTAGCCACTCTCCAATCATAAAGGTAAATCTTGCTCCTCTTCCAGGTATACTTTTGGGATTCTTTATCTTAGCCATCTCCCTCAATCCTACCTCAAGATTCATTTTAACATCATTTTATGATACAAACATATTGAGGAAATAGCAGGAAGGGGAAATTTAAAAATGAGAACATCATCTGCTCATCTTTTGGTCGATCCTGCTTTTAAAGAGTCAGTTTGGGATAAGAGACTCTTCAGCTCTTCCCAACTAGACATTTTAGCTTTCCAACACTCATGTACTGGTCACAAACAATGGCTCAAATCTTTCAAACTATTCTCTCCCCTTTTCATTTAAATAACTTTGTGTGGGGCCCCTGGGTGGTGCAGTCAGTTAAGCATCCAACTGATTTCGGGTCAGGTCATGATCTCAGGGTCATGATCTCAGGGTCATGAGATCAAGCCCTGCATCAGGCTCTGCATTCAGCATGGAGTCTGCTTAAGACTATCTCTGTCCCTCCTCTTGCTTTCTTCTTTTTTCCTCTCATAAATAAATAAAATAAATTTGTACGAGCCAACATTTTATTACTCTTCACAAACACGTTTGAACTCAAGACAAAATTTATGAACATTAAAAAAAAAAAACAGATGTGTGTACCTACCAACTATTCACAATGGTATGCCATTTTCTAAGAATTACAATTAAGAAATGACATTAGTATATTATGATAGATACAGAAACCAAACACTATTGAAGTAGTAGTATTGAAAGATGTTACTGACCCTCAATGGACAATAGTGAAATATCTCTGAAAGGAGTCATACCTACTTGCTCATTTTCTTGCTTCTGTGCAATTCTGAACCTGGTTGGTATGTTTTCATTGCATTTCCAGTCTCCTTCGCACTAGAGAATGGTAGGGTTTTCATTACCTTGGTTGTCAGTTATCCACATAGATAACAGTCTTTCTACTCCATGCAGCACTATGGTAAACATCTCTGGAGACTATGGAAAATATGAGGCCTAGAGCTTGCCCAGAAAATAATGATGGTTATTAAATGAGTTGGAAAATATAATAGTCATCTTAGGTTGGCTAACACATTAGTCATTTCCCCAACTTTCCTTTTTCTACTTTCAAAGGTGAAAACTTGTTTCCCAGACTCTCTTCTAGCAGGGGGTGGCCATTTGACCAAGTCTTTATAAATAAAATCGAAGCAGAAATCTGTTTAGTGGTTCCAGAAAGGCATTTGCTCTCTTTATAAAAGAGAGAGGCAGGGCTGGCTCCATCTCCCATCTTTCTTGTCTCTGTTTTAAATATGGGCACAATGCCTGAATTTAGGGGTGTCATTTGCATCCATGAGGGAAAAGTCAAGAGAATCACAAGAAACTCTCCCAAAGCCAACAGCCACCCATCTCAAATTTTTGTATGAAGTAAAACTTAACATTAATCTTTATGAGATTAAGTAATTATAATGTGGTTCTTTTTTGCTTATACCAAAACTATTCTTAACCAATAATGACAAAAAATAATCCCAGAAATCCTAGAAATGACTTTTTAAAAAAAAATTTTATTTACTTATTTGACAGAGAGAGAGAGAGAGAGAGCACGCACGCACGCACAGAGGGGGAAGCAGGCTCCAGCTGAGCAGGGACCACCAACGTGGGACTCGATCCCAGGACCCTGAGATCATGACCTGAGCCAAAAGCAGACACTTAACCAGTTGAGCCACCCAGGTGCCCTGAAACATACTTCCTTCCCATCACTGGGCATCAGTGGAGAATATTTTTTATAGACTATGATTTAGAAGACTTTTCTTGCCAGAGATGGTAAATGTGAGTCCATAGGAAAGAAGACACCATAGACAGAAGCAGCCATCAGAACACAGTCATCAGAACCCCTTGTCCTTGGGGAAAGGACAAGACATATGTATGTGTACAGAATATAATTACTAGAATCATCAGACTCCAGTGCTGGAAGGGACAAGGTTGGCCTGATAAGGAAGGAGAGAACTAAAAGAGAGTTGAGAGAGTCAGGGTGAAGTTTATGTTTAGTGTGATATGTAATCTGGAGCCATTATGGGTTCATCCAGTGAGTCAGACATCTGTTTGGTGAGAGCCAGCTCTAACGTAGATTCCAAGAATATAAAAATATCTTGCTGCTGCCTTCTAGGGATACAGTTTAATAGAGGTAGACAGTATCAAGTTTCAAGGTAGGAAACAGAAACCCTTCCAGGTGCATCAGACACAAAGGAATATAATATGGGGAAATGAGTCTTTGTAAAACCTCTGGAAGGGACAGCTGAAATCAGGGGACTACCACTGCTCATTGAATTCAGGCTCCCACCAGGCAGGTACAGATCAGAGGACAGCAGTCCACTGATGGCACAGCTACAACAGACTCCAATTACCCATGAAGGTGGTTTCCATGTACAGAAACACTGAGGTTGGCTGCTGCCTGAATACACTCACATCCCATGTCCTGCATGGTAGCAGCAAAACGGAACAAAGCAATGTCTTCCATGTCCAGAGCGTGGGCTGCTAAGGTGTCTCAGTATAGTTTCCAGTTTTCCAACCTCTCTAAGTAGAGAGCTGGGAGAGAAGAAGGTACATGGTGACTGAAAGAGACACTGTACAGTGTCTACCACATTAATGGACTTTAAAGCATCAACTGGTACATGAAGGTGTTACAGGTCCTCTGAGAGAAGTCAGGCTCCAAGGAGGGAAGTGGGTTAGGAAAGATCTCAAAAAAGTGATGATAGGGGTGCCTGGGTGGCTCAATGGGTTAAGCCTCTGTGTTCGGCTCAGGTCATGGTCTCAGGGTCCTGGGATTAAGCCCCACATCAGGCTCTCTGCTCAGTGGGGAGCCTGCTTCCCCCATCTCTCTCTCTGCCTGCCTCTCTGCCTACATGTGATCTCTGTCAAATAAATAAAATCTTTAAAAAAAAAAAAGAATTGATGATAGTTGAAAATAAGCTTACATTTGCCAGGTGGGCAGAATCAGGATTGACATGCTAGGTGGAGCACTTAGTTGATTTTCAACTAAGGCAAAGTGGACATTCAGCAAGCAGCTCATCATGTGTACAGTGTGGGAAGCAAAGTAGGGCAGAGGGGTGGGGGTACAAGTTTAGAGAGGACTGGGGAGGAAATGGGAGGCAGATTGTGGCACATCATCAATGCTATGCTGAAGAATTTGGAATATATCCC